TTGAGTTAGAGAGCCGTGATAAGAAGTTTCGCCAAAGAACTCAATTTTCTTTGACACGATTCCCTCCATGCTCGCAGCATCGCCTAACGTCGCGCGCAGCTAACGCCAAGAAAAGGGAACGCGTTCTCAAGAACGGAATTTCAATTGCGCGCACGCCTCTTTCGTACCTTCGCGGCAGGCGGCCTGAATCCGCCTCAGGTTTCCGCTGCTTTTCGCATCTCTCCCACATCTATCTCGCGTCTCTTGGCGATCTCGGCGTTATTACCGGGAAACAAATCGTGGCAGCTTAACACCGCCGGCGCGAGCCGTTAGTCGACCCGCGTTCGTAAATCAGTCCGGCCCCCGATAAGGGTCGAACACGGGGAAGACGGTCATCCCGAGTGGAGTCCGCCGGCGCGCCGTCGAGGGACGACACGGAGGTCTCCAAGTCGCATTCCGCGGCCCGGCCGGCCGGCCGGCGGCATGCCCGTTACGGCGATCCCGTGCCGCGGGGCGTTCCGGGAGGAGTCCTTTGCCGAGGGGAGTCGGCTAGATGAGCAGATTACAGGTTTCCCGGTGCAGGAAGTCGTGAGATGCTTAATTGCGTTTGTCACGACGCCACGTAGCGGCGTATCTATCTCGGTCCGAGCGCGCGGCGGCTCTCGCAATAACAATGCCGGGATAAATTAACCGGTAGGCGGCGCGCGGCTGACGCGGCTATAAACCGATCCTGTAAGGAGAGCCCGCCCCAGGTGGCCAGTTAACCGCTTAACCTTAAAAAATACACTGCCCTCTTTCTCTCTTTATCTCTCTCCCCCTTCGCTTCTGATCCACCCCCGACGCATCGAGACCGCCACCTGATCGTCGGCTGTCTTCCTCGAGCGCTCGGCTGTCTTCCTCGCTTTCGATCGACCGACTCCATCCCCTCGGATGGACCTCCACACCCTCCTCGCGCTGGGCGAGCTGGATCCCTCGTACGCACCGTCATTTATCCTGAAGCGCGCGCCGACTATGGCGGCTTTATTGTGATTTACGTAACGGCGAAGGAGAACGATCGCTTAATCTTTCGCGCGCCGGACGGGCCGCGTCATCTCGGCAGACGCAGCCTGGGGGTGAAGCCCCGACACCCGTGCACATGGTCGCGGGCTAACTGATGGAAATCGTTGCGTACGCGCGATACTCCCGTGCTCGCGATCGCGACATTTATTTCCAGACGGGACGCGTCGATCCTGCGGTAGATTAATGGCCGAGATTGTTTCTCGCAGCAGCCGCTATTTGTACCCGTACACGTAGCGAGCACCGCTCCATCGTCTCACGAGGAAGCGGAGACGCGAGGAGGCGAAAGAGAGAGAGAGAGCGCGCGATCGTGGATCTGCTCATTGCACGGAACCGATATCTCTTACGTACGGACTTGTACGTGATTAGCCTGAGAAGCCGCTGCACATAATCGGATATTGCATTAGCGTTGAGCAACTGGAGGAGGGTAGCAGCGGAATGCGAGTAAAGTACCAGTATGCCTGGACATCAATAAAAGCTGATAGCTGAAACTCTGGACATTCTTATTGTTCTGGTTCTTACATTACATACATAAATATTTAAACTTTTAACGTAGAATATACAAGATGTTCCGTCTTAAACAGGTTAATCGAATATCTCAAACACATTTATAAATTCGCGCGCACATTACTGTTGATGGAAATGAACAAAGTTGCATTTTTCATTGCTAAGTAACTTTTAAACTATTTGACTTAGGTCATACACGTCTTAAGGATTTTTTATACAAGATTATGCGATTTTTTGGGGAATTTTTACAAAAAAGAATATCACTTTTTATTTAAAAAAACAAGATTGGCTCCATGTGGCGAATGATAGAAGTTAAAATTCAAAACCACCGTTTTTTCCCTTTAAAATTTTATAATTTTTACCTGAAACATATTTATTTGCCGGGCTCGGCTGGCCTGTTTAAAATGTAGCATCCTACATATTTAATATATACGCATATATTCTACATTGAAAATTTATATATATTTTCAATTTTATTTTTATATTTTAAAATTTATATTTGCAATTGTATTTAAAAATCGAAATAATATGCAGAGTTAGGTACCAGTGCTGCTGTGGTGTCCAGACATCCGGTACTTTTGCCATAAAACGGAAGAATTCTCTAAAGCCGGATGTATAGTGTGCGGTGACATCGGATCGCGACAGAGTTTCAAGATAACCGCGATAAAGAGACAGTGCGACAGGCAGCGCACTTTCATATCGCACCGTGAGGGGCAATAATCCGCGATAACGTCGTCATATCAGAAGATTACATAGACTGCCGGGCGGCTGGGAGATTCGCGGACAAGGTTGCGAATGCATCTGCAGAGGCGTTCGGGGATTTGTTCGGTTATTCCGTCTCGCCGTCCGCTCGAAGGACCAACGGAGAAAAAGTCAACATCGCGCGCCCGGTAAACAGGGAGCGACGTAAATTCTCAGCCTTGTCTCTAGGTATTATTCAGGCTTAGTGGATGCTACGGTCGCGACCGTGGAGAGAGGAAGCTCAGTCTGCGAGCGCAAACAAACGGTTCTAATCCGTTTAACATAAATACCACGTGGTTTAATTAAATCGCGCACCGCAAGGTAATCGTCCCGGCGTTGTTTGCAGAAGCGTGGCTTTTTCTTCCTTAGGCATCGAGATTACCGCGCGCGCGCGATGGATCGATATTTATTCGCAAACAAGCTGAGCTACGTGGAATAAGTTTCGGATAGCGCGCGCGAAATATTCGGCACATACAACGCGATTCAACCCGAGATCCTCGAAATTTGTTTCTCGCGTTGGAAAAATGACGGGAAGCAATGCCGTTTCAATCCAACACGTTTCGTATTTCCGCTCCGAAACGTCATTTGATGTGATAAACGCGAATCGTAAGCTCCAACGTTAGAGGTCAGTAAAACAACTGCTTTTCAAACAGAAAGCACTGAAGTAGTCTAGTGGACGACGACAGGCAAAATATTGTGGTGCAAATCCGGTTCGGCAAACGCTGGTTCTATTATCGCTCGCAACCCTTCGTTTGCCACCCTCGTATTACTCGCGACACCCTAGCCGCGGCTCTATATGAACCGTCGTCTGCAAAAATCGATAATAACTCGTTAATTGCCAACGAGACGCGCTAGTTTATGCGCGTTCGCCCGCATTTATTAGCATATTAATATCTTTTTATGAGACTTATCTTCTTCGCCAAATTGAGAAATTTTATGGGAACAGGGTTTTATACGTAACGTTCTGAAGAATTCGATACCACGGCGCGCGGAACGATCGAGAAAATTGCAGGTCCCCGTTGAAAAATAATTTGATCGGGGCAAATAAAGCGGGGAACCGACTCGAATCTATTCCACGCGATAAAATGTTATAACGAGTACTTTATTCCGCGAAGCGAATATTGTTATTCAACGCAATTTACGAACGACAATTCGCGACGAGCTACAGAGCGCACCTAATTATCGGAAATGCAACGCCGTCATTTTCGGCGCGACGCCGAGACACAACCGATATATCCCGCGGCCGAATTTTCCGCGTTATATTTGGAGAACGCTTCGACGCGACAACGTCTCAGGGACAATGAAATAATCTCCGTAGGTCGCATTCACAGGATGTCAACGCGATAATTTTCGTCGTGAACCATTTCCCCGCGCCGACTTGCCGCAAGACGACGACGACGACGCTACGGGGAACAAGGAAGAGAATGAAGACGATGATGACGACGACGACGACGACGACGACGACGACGCGCTTAAAATAGTGAGGAAAGGGAGATGAATTTCTCTACTCAGGCTAATCTCGTAGAAGAGGCGCTCCTTTGTAAATACTTCGGAGGCTTTGTCTGAAGTTACCACGGGAACGAAACTCTGGAGCTTCTATCTTAATCATTCGACTAACGCGGCGCTCGCAACACCGCCCACGTCTCACCCACCGCGATTAGAATCTCGCGCTGTGTACTTTCTTTCTCTTTTTTACTTTTTACTCGAAATGCACGATGGCATGTACCCTTCTACTGTCTCTTTCTCTCTCTCTCTCTCTCTCTCTCTCTCCTTCTCTCCCTTTCTCTTGTACTCTCTCCCCGCGGTAGCGAAGAACGAGAAAATTGACGATCTCCATGGCGACCCTTGCCGCGTCCTGAATATCTTATGCACGAGCCCCATTAGCGGCAGGAACGTCGCGAGGATAAATGGCGGTCGCTTTAAAGGAGCTCGACATTCTATAGAATGGAAGGTGCTCTATGAAAGGGAACGCTACACCTTCATACAAAAATGTATCCGCGCGAAAGCGGATTTCCACGACGATCGTAATAAATTATTACGGAGATATCTCAGTAACGATACGCTTGTAATCAATGTACCGCACTCTACCCCCGCAACGGACCTTATTATTTCACGAGATTCGCGCATAAATTGAATTCCGGCGAAATAAATTGCGTGACGTTACGCTGCGGAGGAGGAACGAAGGGAACGTAGAATTGAGCGAAAAGTTCTGGCAAAGGAAAGCGGGCGGCAAAATGTAACTTTGATATTTTGCAGAAAGAGAGATATTCAGCCGAAACGAATCGTTCCATCAGTGTGCTTAATTTTATGCGTTTCGTCTATTTTAATAAAGCTCATCAGAGATATGGTGCAGATATTTAACTCTCCGCGTACAATATTGTTGGATCTGCGAGACCGGATACTTGATCGCTCATCAACTTTCGCAAAGTCCGAAAAAATCTCAAATCTGTTTGCAGGATCTGACTCTATTGCACTACTATTTTATAGCTAAGGCTTTCTCACATCTCTGAAAAAAATGTACCTAAAGATTTTTAACAAAGTTACAGTAACAAAATTGTTCGGATTGTACCGTATGTCTGAAAAACTACGACTGTACGCGGAGGAGTAACAATCTCCACCTTTTCTTTCAAAATATTACGGCAAATAAGCGGTGAGACTTTTATACATTTAATGGAATGTATCTCAATAAACAGACCTGCGCTCTTTGCTACTTACAGGTGGACACACCTGACAGTGTTTTGCAAAGCGGTTTGGGTCTTGGGCCCGACATGGGACACACGATACTTCGTTCAATGGTGGATCCTCGAGATTACGACCGGTTGCGATACCTACAGATGAACGGTGGCCAAGCGAACAGTTTTGAGGAAACTATACAGAGGGTAATAAATTACGCTTTCCTTGCATTTTTCTTAGTATTTTCTGCTCTACTGTGATGACGCTCAGTTGTATCAACGAGAACGATGTTGCGTTGCAGCGCAATGACGCTTGAAATCACCCGGTGTCTATGTGATTCGATAAAAAATTTGTCATCATCTCTCTTTTTCTCAATGTACAGGGTGTTGTATTAATGTGTTGGTCACTATGACGGGTTGCTTCGCTGGCAGATACCCGGACACAGACTCAGCTCAGATTTGGCAATGTACTCGTTTGAAAAACAGATTACACTCATTTCATTAAGAGAAATATGAAAAAGTGCAAGTCGTTTCACCCGTCACACTGCCCTGTATGTTGACGCAACGCCGTGCACAATGAAGACTGATGGAGAACAGAGAAGACAATTTGCGTGAGAACAGCCGTGAATAAAAGCCACTCTCTGGGCCTCGCACAATCCATCGTGATCTGCGAGTTCAGTCAGCGCGCTCCGAGCCGTTCGCGAGAAAGTCGCTCTTTACCGCCGATAAAACCTTTTTAAACGAAACTTAAGAACGCTTCCATCCCCTTGCATTTTTCAGCTGAAAGTTCAAGAGGCGCTGCGGAAGAAGGAGCGAATCCACAAGGAGCACGAGGAGGTGAGTAGTGCGCCTTAAGACACCGCATCTCTCTCCCGATTCTGCAACGAGATCTTTGTCGTCGCTTTTTTACTAATGAACTTACTCGCGGAGGACCTCACGCAGGCTAACCCCTGCGGGAGGTCGCCCCGGCGGCTTTTCCCGGCGTTTCGTGCGGCCGCGATTAAATCCGCTCAATCTCTCCCGGCAAATGGAGGACGCCTCATCCCTCCTGGTCGGCCCCTCGAAATCGTCTAATGGCGCCTCCGTTAGGATACATATCTGCCCGCGTTTTCGCGCCGACACTCACGTCTCTCGCGAGCGAGCGACAATTTTCCTTATCGTGCTGATCGTTGATAAGAACGGCGCGTCGTATCGCGATTAAACCTAGCCGCTCCGCTCGGCTCGTTTATTTTCTTCCCGCGACTCCCCCGTGCATTGCCCGGATCATCGGCAACCCTCTTCTCGTCGCTCGACTGATATTGGCCCTGGGAGCCGGTGGCCTTATCCGATACAATCCTGCCTCCCGCATCGGAATTCTCGCAGGACGAAATTTGCATGTATGCGCTATCACCAAGGCCACCTCCTCCGCCTCTGTCGCGCCTCCTTCCCCCCGCGCGTCCTGTTATACTACCCTTCTTCCAGTTTCACGTAGCTCGCGAGAACTCGATCCCCCGCGTCCTGTCCTTGCCTCCTCTTCGGGCTGTCTTTCGCCAACTCGATATCTCTTATTATGCAAAGCAGCCAGATCAGCGTGATATCATCATAATCGTCAATGCGTACCGCGACGCTGCGTCGTGAATTTCTTATGCGCGATCGACGCGATACCGGCGCCGCGCCGGTATGCTTTTCGTGCTTTTCTTATTTCCCGGTCCGTCCGGCTTTCCGCTCTTTTTTCGCCTCTTCTCTCGTACGTACGATCGCGATTCGCACAGCAACCCGGATATCGCGTAGGTGTTTCAATATGCGTTCACGCTGCGGCGTCGCCCGTCTGTCTTTCTCTTAACGTCAACATCTTACCGTGAGAAAAGAAAAAACACTACGACCCCGAAACTCCAGCAGTGTATTTTCGCAGTTTGCGAACCAAGGGAGAATATATTCCCGTAATTAAAAGAGTTCAACGAACCAGAGAGGCTGAATTTATCAAACACCATCTTTCTCCGACTTATCCCGCTGATATAATATTCGCGACTTATATATAACCCGCGGTCACCTAATTAAAATAAAACCAAATTGATGAAACAAAGGGGTCATATGTTTAAGAGATAATTAATTAGGACACTGCGGCATTAAAAGCGATAAAATTCGATGAACACAGGGCTTGAGAATTTTATTACAAAAAAAGCTGGAAAAGAGTAGAAGGAATATGCAAGGTACGGAAATTATCAGGACAGGCAGATAACTTTATGATAAAATCCACTAGCTAACTCTCGTCGAAGAGCTCTATGAGAATTTTAATAAACAACCCTTTCACCCGATCTAAACTTCTCTGAGATTAACTTCGGCAAACAATACCTTCTTCCCCGTCGATTCTTGATGATAATCCCAGATAACTCGGTAAAAAGTTTATCTTCGTTAATTTATCCGCGGTATAAAGGAATAAAGGAGAAACCGGTATAGACTGAATTAACTACTTGAAAGGGACATCCGGGATAATGTCGCGCGCGCGGCTTTATTAAATAATTAACTCCGTTAAAAAGTTAGTCGAATGAGCCGTATAAGTCGTCGAAGCCCGCCCTCCTCGATTGCTCGCGCTCGTTATTTGCTCGGTGAAGTTCTTCCATCGCAATTTCATAATTACCTCATAAGAGAAGAAAAATTCCTGCGAGAAGCCGATAACGTTCTAAGAGATTTTCGACTACGCTGACCATACAACACGTCGCATCTGCATCTATCGTTCTAAATTAAAGAATCTCACGAAGAGAAGCAACGTTCCGGACGAATTTTTGTGAATGGGTTAGGCACGCAAGCAGGCAGCCAGCCCGAGATATCGACCGTGGAGACCGCGTACAGAAAATCACGACAGAAATACGGAGCATCCTGGTAAATTTCAAGGATACCCGGTAATGAGAGGAAAGTGGCGGTTTCGACACGTAAAACGGTACCGTTTCAACACGATCACGTGTATCGCGCGCGGTTCATGCATAAGTGGGCAACGCGCGCTATAACGCGCCGCTTCTTCACGCGAGAGAGCGTGCGGGGCCGCACATTACACACGCTTCGCACGTAATAACACCGGGACTTACTCCGCCGCGGTGCGGCGGCTTAGCTCGTTACGTATGTCGCGCATCCCCGCGAAAATTTCTCCGCTCGCTCGCGAGCTCGCCGTTTGCCAAAAACTGCCCATTAGGAAAGAAGCGTGCGCGTAAAAGCGAAGTAGTAGGCGGCGGGGCGGACGTCGTTAGTCAGAGTAGCGCGGGCACGAGCCGAGAGTTTTAATTACGCGGACGTAAGCTCCGCGGAATTCTACGGAGTTTAAAAGGGGACCATGAGGAGAAAGAGGAGGAGACGTCGGCCGAAATTGCCGAAAACTGGCGGCATTACCCGCGCCGACAGTACGGAGGAGAAAGAGAGAAAGAGAGAGACGACACTGGAAGGGAGGATTGGGGTGAGAATGAGAAAAGGGCGGAGGGACCGAAGGGAGACATAGGAAAGAAATAAAGCGGGCATGTTCCTTTTTGAGGCTGCGAGCAATATGGAAATAAAGGTCGGTATCCGTGTAAAAGTTTTAGTGTCACCTCTACCTCTCGGTGGGTTTATTGCTCCCCGGAGGACCTCCTCCCTTTCTCTCTTTTCCTCTTTTCTTTCTTTCTCTTTCTGGCAACTCTCTGCAGCCTTTCCTATTCTTCCGTTGCTCTCACTTCTTCGCTCCCTCCTTCTCTCTCTCTCTCTCTCCCTCCTTCTCTCTCTCTCTCTCTCTCTCTCTCTCTCTCTCTCTCTCTC